AAGTAATTTAATCTAGTTTTTTATTATAAGGCTAGTTTTTATATTTGCCTTAGAAATATTACAGGTCTTAAGTTTTCTTGTCTGTACAATGGGAGTAACAACATAGTTGTTCTTGAGGGTTCTGTGAAGCTGAATGAAATAATACATATTAAGTGCTTAGCCCAGGAGCTGCTGTATAACCTTCAGTAAAATAGTTATTAACATTGAGATAACGATTTGATAGAGAGACTCTCAGAACCACACTGATTTTAGTCCAAGAACACAGAGCAATGTATTAACACTTGGCCTGACTTTGAAAAAAGCTTAGTTTCTTTGGATCTCTGTTTTCTCAGGTATAAATGAAAAACCTAGAAGAGATAGCCTCAGTCTTGAAACTTTAGTGACTGGAGATAACCTACAATTCCTCTCTCCAGCATTCCTTTTTACCAAGCTTATCACAGTTTTGGTTTTAAGTCAAATAAATCCCCATACATGATATTTATTGCCAGATGTGACCTTTTGTTAGCACACTGTAGAATCCCAACATAAATATCACTTTCTATAAATACAGACTTGAGCTGAGGCAATGTTGTCCCTAGAGAAGCGTAGCTATTGAACTCTTTCTCTTTTTAGATGCTGGGTCTGTGGGCTATTACTCATTGTTGGTATTCTCCCCTGTCTCACTTATATACCTTCTTCTCTCATGAGCTCTGCAGTTTCAAGTTCCTCACTCAGCCTTCCCTAGTGGTTGGCAGTGCATTTGCATTTTGCTTTCTTGCTTCCTCTACCTTTTGAAATTTAAAAATAGAAAATAACCAACAAGCCCACAGTCTTTCATATATGCTGAACTCTATTATGCATCTGACATATATTCTGATGAATTCCACAGTGTAATATTTATAGTCAGGAATCTGCCATCAGTTCAGAATAAACCACTTCAGAAATTGACAAAGAGCTGCTTTTTATTTTGACTACCAAATATACAATCAGAAACAGGAGGAAGCTGTCCACAGGAGGGGGCTTTGAAAAGGGAATCCTAAAGACAGCATGGCTCCTGGCCCGCTCTTAGCTTTTTGCCTCACCTATCCAACTTTCCCGGGCCATTGGATTGATAAAAGAACTCTTTTAGGTCTCTGACTCTTATACTGTAAACGCCAACCACAAGTCCTGAGAAACATGAAACTCCTTCATAGATGTGAGCTCTATTCACAGAGACCCAGCCCACATCACCGCAAACAGGCTAAAATATGTCACCTTCTATGTTAAATACAATTTTACTGCTGAAAACATTTTTGAAAGTATTTCTACAACTTTCCTTTGGAAATAGGCTGACCACGAGTATCTGCTTTAATTTAGAATTGGCTATTAGTTTATCTGAAATTAGCATACTTGGGATTTTTATTTTATTTTATTTTTGCTGGTTCTGGAGCTTGAAGTCAAGGCCTGAACCATATCCTTGAACTTTTATGCTCAAAACTAGTGCTCTACCACGTTGAACCACAAGTTCATTTTCAGCTCTTGGTAATTAATTGGAGATAAGAGTGTCATGGAGCTGGGTTTGAATCTCGATTCTCAGATCTCAGCCTCCTGAGTAGCTAAGATTATAGGTGTATGCCACTAGCACCCAGCTTCATACTTAGGAAGTTTCATCAAGAGATAAATCCAGCTAGTATATTGATATCAAAGGAAATATTTTATTATTTTTTTGTATTAACTGCTTGATATGATTAATCTCTTTTATGGCATTAATGCCTTTTTTATTGTAAAGATACTATACAGAGGGTTACAGTTACATGAGTAAGGTAATGAGTACACTTCCTATTGAGCATTGTTACCCCCTCCATTGTTTTCCCCCTACGATCCCTTCCCTCCCTACCTTCCTGGAGGTTCTTTTTTTTTTTTAATTGTGATTAAGTGATTACATAATTTCCCGAATTTCACAGTATTGTGGAATAATGATGCTCATTTAAAGTCACAAGGTCATTCTAACTTCAAAGGAAATATTTTAATTACCAAATCAACAATTAAGGAAATTAATCTAAGTATTACATTCTGTAGATCTCTGACATTTATTCATTTCAATTAATAATCGTCTTGTTTTGTTTTGTTTTTATTTTGGGTCCGGTCGTGGGCCTGAACTCTGAGCCTGGGCGCTGCCCCTCAGCTCTTCAGCTCAAGGCTAGCCCTCAGCTCTTCAGCTCAAGGCTAGCGCTCTACCACTTGAGCCACAGCGCCACTTCTGGCTTTTTTTTTTTTGCTTATGGGTGCTGAGGACTCAAACCCAGGGCCTCAAGCATGCAAGGCAAGCGCTCACTGAGCCACCTTCCCAGCCCCTAATCGTCTTGTTTGAATAAAGGATTGAATATTCCTTATCTGAAATACTTGGGACTAGAAGTGTTTCACATTTCAGATCTTGGAAAATTTGAGTATGCTTTAATAATTAAGAATCCCTTATCTGGCTATCTGAAATACCAATCCAAAATCTGAAACTTTCATGGCAATTCATGTGGCCGCTCAAAAAGTTTCAGGTTTCAGCAGGGCGCTGGTGGCTCACGCCTGTAATCCTAGCTACTCAGGAGGCTGAGATCTGAGGATCGCGGTTCAAAGCCAGCCCGGGCAGGAAAGACTGTGAGACTCCTATCTCCGATAAACCACCAGAAAACCGGAAGTGGTGCTGTAGCTCAAGTGGTAGAGTGCTTGCCTTGAGCTGAAGAGCTGAAGGACAGCGCCCAGGCCCAGAGTTCAAGCCCCACGACCGACAAAAAAATAAAATAAAATAAATAAAAATAAAAAGTTTCAGGTTTCAAACCTTTGGATTAGGGATGCTTATTCTAAACATGGTTTCCAAGGTCTTGGCTATTTTCATAGACCTGAAAAGGTGGAAGGCCTCAGGCATTGCACCATAAGGCAGTGAGCCCTAGGGCCCTCCTTCTCACCTTTCTCAAGGAATGGGGGCTGCCTTGGGGTCAGCATGCTGGCATATGGACAGCATTAATCAGTCACTACAAAATCCAGAGTAACTAACTGGAAGCAGGATCCCTGGCTTCCAGCCCCTAGTTCACTGGATAACTGAACAAGAGCTGCATGGCCCTGCCCTGCCCCCAGGAGTACCTTTCCAGGAAGAGACTCCATCTGGTCTAGCTGGAGGCACAAATTCTGCTCTATGGAACTGAAAGATTGTAAAAGTCCGAGACCCAGACTCAGGGGAAGGATTTCCCTGTCGCATGTTACTAGGAAAACAATTTTTTATTTGAAAAATGCTTTTACTGTAGAAAAGATAGGCATTTAATAGCTTAATGAAATATAAAGTTTCCATACACAGTGAAACAGTTGTTAAGAACTGCTAATCTTTCACCAGGTTCTTAGAATCTGGGTACAGCATTATAGAAAGTAACCCCTCCATGAACACACACCCATGAACCAGTGGCAGCAACTGCAACAGATTAGGAAGACAAGAGTGGCCCCAAAGTGGCAGGGGCACTGCCCACCTTCTTGGAAAGTTCTAAGCTTACTTGGTTCAGTTATCTCTTTGAGTTTCTCTCAGCTGTCCAGCCCAACTTCATTTTAAATCTATATTGTTCTTCCAAAATGAAAGAAGGAATAGAAGAGGGAAAGGAACAGGGAAAGGAGGAGGAGGAAAGAATGCACCGCCAACAAGTGACAGATGAGAGTTGAATATCTCATATCCAGAATGCTTGGGAACAGAAGTGTTTGCCCGGACACAATGAGATGTCTTGAAGCTAGGACCCATGTTCAAGCAGATTATTACTTTAGGTTCTATGTACCCTTTCTACACATAGCCTGAAGATATGAGACAGTTTCACAGTGAAATTTTCCACTTGTGATGTCATATGGTGTGTTTTTCACATTAGGTATGCTCAACCTGTGTTGCTTCTCCAGAAACAAAGTCATCTGTCATCTGTTGTTCCCTGGGGAAGGGACCAGTGTGATGAAATGGAAAAAGGAAGGATTTCAGGAGCAGGCAGTGCAGTTTTAAAGCCATCGCTACCACTCGGGGCTACACTTCCTCAGAATGTGGGCCAGGGACATCTAGGTTTTTTAAGAGCCCCTCAGGGTGTCCTTCAGGTCAGAGTTACTGTTTTCAGAGTAGTGGTATGACATCATTTGCCTTTTCACTCATTCTTGAAATGAGCAAATGTCTCCAGAGTCCCCCTGGCTTGTGGTATTATGACAGATGAGTCACAAGCACAGATAGTAAAATCCAGCTGCCTTCTACTAAGTCAAACTTGAACGCTATTTATAAAAAAAAACAGAAAATAGTGCCATGCTTCTCCCCATTTTAGTGAAAAACAGATTTTTAACTTTTCATTGTTATTTATGTTACTGTGTTAAGATTGTTCCTGCTGATTTTAATAAATTAATAAAGAATAAATACATTTAAAAATTCATCAGTCATAATGTCCAATATGATAAATATTGATAAGTATTACCCACATTAAAGAAATGTTTGAAACTGGGTGGGCAGTCCACTCTTGTAATCCCAGCACTCGGGAGGATACTGTAGGATGATTTCAAATTCAGGACAGCCTGGACTACATAGTGAATTTGATTGATTGATTGATTGAGAGTCAGCCTGAGCTACCTATTGAAACCCTGTCTGAAAAAACGCTCATTGAGGTCCTTTTTCTATCTAAGAATACAAACCTGCATCCCAAAAGTTTGAGAACCTCTACACTCTCCAGTAGTAAATACCATCTACTGATTGTTTCCTTGAGCCAAGAGCCACATTCTTCGTCTCCTTCTCTTTGCATCTGAGCTATAGAGACTTGAAACCAGGGTGCCTTCCTAGTCCGGGGCCTCGAGGTGGGCCTGGTAATGCCCTGAACTTCAGTTCCTTATCTAAACTCAGCAGAATTAGGTATCATACAGGGTTCTCTTAAAAAACAACCAAGTGCCTAGCACTGGGGCTAACACCAAATAGACAGACCCCAAAAACTGTCCGTTTCCTTCCTGTCTTTGGCGGTGGACCATGGAGCTCACCCTCTCCCCTTCTCCCATAGATGGTCAACAAGCAGACCGAGAGACAGAGGGACCAGGAGTTGATGAAGATATGATTGTGACCCAGAGCCAGATTAACTTCATCTGCCCCATTACCCAGGTACTACTTTCTCCATGTTCCCCTGAAAGAAAATGAGACTACCTCACCCGGCAAAAAGCTTCCTGCTTGCTTTTTGATTTGATTTTACCTTTGGCTCCAGGGAGAGTGAGAAGAACATGGATGAGGGTTGGAAAGGGAAGGTGGGAGGTTTGGGGATGGAAAGAGCTTTCACTCAGTCATATCCTTAAGGATCTGAGAATAATAACGTCCAAGCACACAGGCCAAGTAACATTAAGCACCACTGTAGCCTTGCATTTCCTTATCTCCTGCCTCCAGTGTAAAACCGTGGGAATAGGAAGTTAAACGTAGCTTGGCACTGGATTGGGGTGGGGGGGGGCGTAACACCACTGGAAGTTGATAGTTACCATTCCTGAAAGTTTAATGTCTTGATTACAGTTGGAAATGAAGAAACCAGTGAAAAATAAAGTGTGTGGCCACACCTATGAAGAGGAAGCCATTGTTCGCATGATTGAATCCAAGCACAAGCGGAAGAAGAAGGCCTGGTAAGGTGGGGGAATGGGAGACAGTGGAGGCTCCTGGCTGGCCTCTGTCAGGTGCTGTGTGCAGCGGGGGCGACGCTGCTCAGGCCCCTGCTCCAGCGCTGTGAAGGAGGAAGCGGGCTTTCTGGACAAATAGCAGTGAGGAGGGGTGGGGGAGGGGAGCCATGTTTTCAGGAAGAGGTAAAAGGCACTCTGCCACACCTTTCAAACAGGAAAGAAAGGTGGGGGGTGAATTTTAGTCCTTAGGTAACAGGATTTTTATAAATTTGTGCTATTAAAAGAATAGTCTGAGGAGCAGGGGAGTGTAGTTGTGGAGATGGGAGGGCAGGGTTGGTAGAGGAAAAACAAAGGAGGAGGCAACAATAAGCAATATACTTATTACCTTGCTTATGTCATTGTAACCCCTCTGTACAGTATTTTCACAATAAAAAAAACTTACTAAAAATTAAAAAAATTTAAAAGAAGAAAAAAAAGAATAGTCTGAGGAATATAATAAGAACCGTGATATAAAGATGTTTTTTCTCCTCTTCAGATAGGCTTACCAAAAGATCTGTTCTGGATAGTTTTGTTTTGATTTTGCTTCCTTCCTGCAAGACCAGTAATTTGTTTTTCAAAGTATGATAAATGTTCCTAAGAGCTTTTACCCTACGGTCTTGGTAGTTAAGATTTAATTGTCAAAGAAAGTTGTTTTTTGTTTGTTTTGTTTTTGTTACCAGTATTGGGGCTTGAAGCTCTAGGCATGGGCACTGCCCCTAGCTGGTCTAGGCTGGTACTCGAGACTTGAACCACACCTCCACTTCCAGCATTTTTGGTGGTTAATTGGAGATAAGAATCTCCTGGACTTTTCTGCTCCAGCTGACTTTGAACTCTGATCCTTAGAGCTCAGTCCTGAGTAGCTAGGATTACAGGATTACTAGGGCATGGCTCAGTTCTCCTATTTTTAAATTATTTCAATAACTTCCCAAAGCTTTAAGTAATATGATGGATACTGAGCAATGAGAATATTTTTTGAATTGGAGGTTTCCTGGAATCTTCCCTTCCCTTCCAGTCCTTTCCCTTCCCTTCCCCCACAACCAGAGGCCCATGACTGCCTATCATTACCGCGATTCTGACTTTTGCTGGCTTTGGCACCTTCTGAGCTCTTATCCCAGACTTGTCTCAGGAATGGAATGGCAGGTGTGACCCGCTCTCTTGGGCCTCTGATAGATAACAATCCTTTTGATGTGAGTTTGCTGCTGCTTCACCCAGAAATTTGCTGGTCCTGACCTAAAGCTGGAATTCCCCACCCCGCCTCTGGTAGGTGTGGGCTTAGAGATAGGGCTTTGGAAACTGCAGCTATCTGGATGGTCCTTCAGTCAAGTAATACACGGTATGTATTCTAGAAGAATAATGGATCTGCAGTCTAATGGTTGGCAAGCATAGACTATGAGTACATTTTTATGTTTTGCATTTCCACTATGTAGTTGAAATGCCATATTTCTCTAGTGAATCTAACATTCTCCCCTGTGAGCATATTTTTCTCCAGCCTTTCCCTTCCATTCATTTTTTTCCTTTGCCCTTCTCTGACAAGCCAGAAATGCCCATATAGTTACTAAGAACTGTTCCTAAGTGATTGGTTTTGGCAGCGCTTTCTTCATAAAGTGTGCAGTATTCTCCTAGAGGAGGAGTTGGGAAGGGCAGAGGCCCTCCTACAGGCCTAGAGAGAGCTGAGTCTCCCATCACATTTAGATGGCTCTGCTCCACTCCACTCTTTGACTTTCTAATGCCCTTTGCCTTTTTTGAATTATACATGCTATTTCCAGGCACTTGAAGAACACTTGTCATTTAGAAAACTTGAGTAACCCTTGTCATTTTTTCTGTCATACTTCTCTATAACTTGAGTGTCTGACACTTTGCAAATTCTCAGACTAGTAATAGCTACAGAGTGTAAGTGGAAGAAATGTAGAGGTTTTCAGAGTACCTAGTGTTTTCATTTCAAAAATGAATAGATTGCAGAAGGTAGTGAGGGAGTCTCCTAGCCCAGGGCATCTCCCTATCAGGCCACTTGGTAGGTAGCAGGTACAGCTCTGATTTCTGGGTATGAGGGATAATGAAGAGACACTGAGACAGGAAAGACAGCGAAGTGGTGTGGAGGGCATTGAACACTGGACTTTTATTAGTTTCCACCTGGTAATGGTGGTTGCTGTAACTGCCTCAGAGGTATCTGTGAAATGTGGACATGGTACATGTAAGATAGGGGAAGTACCTGGCACGGGGTAAGATTCAGGAACCATTATGCCATCCTCATCGTCTTCAAGTGTGACCCTACCACCATTCATCATCCTTCCCAGTATTAGAGACCTGGAATTGCTAATGGGTGGGGGGCTAAGTGAGCCATATTAGAATTTAGGAAGTTACTCCAAAGCCATGAAAGTGACCAAGGTGAAAAGTTTGATTAGAATGTGTTACTGTAGATTACGATCTAGAGAATGAGCACTTATGAAGGTGCAGTGATGAGAGGAATGAGTTTAGAAAGGATTTTCAGCTCATGCTAATTCTGAGGTCTCAGCAATACAACCATTAACTGTGCCAGACAGTGTAGGAGATTCTGAGCTGTCAGGCGATGCTGCTTGTGAGGTTGTGGGTGTTAGAGCTCTGAGTCAGGCCAGCTTGTTGCCATAAGAGCCACACCTCTGGAGAGGTGCACTCACCAGTGGAGAGCCAGCAGGACAAGACTTAGGTCTGGCCCAAGATGTGTTCTGCTTCCCCGGCACCTGACTCAGAGCCTGAGGTCAGCCCCAAAGTGGCCTTGTGTTCACCATGTCAGTGTCAGCCGGAGGGAGACCCAGGAAGGCAGTCTAAACCACAGCCAGGAGGCAGGAGGCGCCAGTGAGCACTCATGGGAACAGGGCGGGGGAGGCTGGCAGGGCCATGGGCCCAAGCACAGACGGCAGGGCAGGGGTAGCAGATTAGAATCCATATCTTGCTCACAATTTGCTCCAAAGGTTTCTGATTCAGCACGGGTGGTGTCATTTCCATGATCTATGCACCCGTGATAAGCAGGGTTGGCTTCTCTTTGTTTGAAAATGTCCGTGACACATGCATTTCCAGAAAGCTCCTGTCTTCCTTCTAGACTGTCCCAATTATATGTTGTTAGAGTAGAGTCACAGTTACATTGTGTTACTGGGCACTGGGTAAACTTTCTCGAACATGCTTTAGCCCAGAGAAGTGCCTCTTCACTGGCTTGAGCTGAACAATCTTGCTGAGACTTTGCCCATACCTAACTGTGGTAGTGAGAATAATTCCCTAAAATAGAGCTCTTAATCATAAGACTATTTATTATCTTATAAATAAAGCTGCCTGGTGATTTCATATTCATGAGATATTCCCAATTTTACCACAGTCATTTGTTTTGCTTTTTTGTTGGTGAACAGGAACTGTGTTTTAACAGTCGTATTTCAGAGCATATAAGGCAAAACTAAGCCAAACAGCAATGTGTGGCTCCACGGCAGAATGCACTTAACCACACGCCACGGAGCGTCCCAACCTGTTTCTTCACCTGTAAAGTGGAAGCGATGGAAGAATTCCTTCCTGGGTCTGAAGCAGCACATTGCTGGGCCGTGGAGGAACAACAAAACACATAGGGTCATGAAGGCTGACATTGAGAGTTGCTACTGCCTAGCCACACATGACAGTGGTCTTGGAGGATGTAGGAAGTTACGCCATAGAACTCAGGGGTGCACCTTGGAATTCTCCGGTTCCAGACCCAAGAGCTTACAAGACTCAGAATCATATAGTCTTGAGGTGAGACAGAGAGCGAGGCTCCCCTCTGCCCCATGGGACTCCCAAGGCCTGGCATCGATTGTTCTGCTGACACTCTTGTGCTTGCCCCATGTCACTGTGGAATGCATTGCCCTGGCGGTGATCTGGACCAGACTCCTGGCTCAGGACCAGCCTCTCCTTGGAGACCCGTGGGTCTGAGTCCTACCCACCGATGCTGCCAGAGCTGAGGTCTGGGTGTTACCACAGCGGACTGGCTCACTGGGATGTCGTGGGGATTAGGCCTAATGCTGATGGAGTGTTGTTTCTACAGGGCAGAGCGCCTGGATTCAGTCCCATGCCCTTCCTTATCCTTTATGCTGGGAGGGGTGAGAACAAGGCCCCACCCTAGCTCCTGCGCCTGCCTCCCTTCCAGGAAGTCTTCCCAGAACCTCATTCATGCTAGGTGCAGTGTTGTTGGCACCTCGTGGAGTCAGCAGCCGTGGCCCAGGGTGGCATCTGGTATGCAGTCGAGCCTAGAATGTACTCCTTGACCCTTGGCCCTGTGCATCTCTGTTTGAAGGGGGAATAAACTAAGACCACAGAGATTTAAGTCACTTGCACAGAAAGTCAGCAGCCAGGGGCTGTGAGCCTAGGTCTTTTTCACTCATGGGGCCATCCAGCTCCCTTGGGAGGACTATTTGATTCATGCCACTCTCCGCAGTCTGTCTGTCTGTCCCCTGTGTGCGCTCAGACCTCTTTGTCCAGCACAGATCTCCCAGGGCTCCATCCCATCCACATGAAGGTGGGCTGCTGCTCAGCTATTCCATCAGCCGTTCTCAGAACACCCTCGATTACTGACTAAAGCCACTGATGTCATCAGGAAGTCCTCCCCACTCGCTCCCCACTTCTCTGTCCATGGCTTATTCACTGTCTGGCTGCTGGAGGTGGAGTCGGGAGAGGAGCTGGCAGACAGCAGGGGAGGTTGGGGGGTTGGTGGAGTGGCACACTCCTCCAACAGCCTGCTGGGAGCTGCATTTCCAGTCACGAAATCCAAAGGGTGAAGGTTGCTTTTTCTAATGTCTTGAAAGTACCTGTGTATTCTCCATAATCTCAGCTGCTTACTTTCATACTTAGAGAAATGATTCACCTCAAGACTTCAGAGTACAGAGAGACAGGCTAGGGCAGAAAATACAGATTTTTTTTAACTAGTATAAAACTTCCATCAAGATTTACCCTGATGCCCAGCCAAATCATTCAAATAATGTCTATCTAGGCCTCTTTCCTATTATCACCTAACACATGTGCCTAACTTACAGAGCACAATTTGTCATTTCAGAATGAATTATTGTTAACTAGAACATCATTCATTACATTGACAAGTGCCCATCTAATATAAAGACTCTTTGATCCAGAGATCAAAGCCAAGAACAGCTTTCTGTGTCATGTTTCATGGTTGGAGGTTCCTAGGACTCGGCCAATTAGAGTTCCCAGGAGCAACTTCCTTCTCTGGCATTTGTTGTATGTAGCTATTCCTGTGCTTTTCGGAAGCTGCCTCAGACCGCAGAACTCAGCTCAATGTTGCAGGGAACGTTGTCTGTAGCCACATTTAGATCTAGCACAGGGCCAGTCACGCTGGAGGATCAGTGATGTGTGCATGGATACATGTATATTGGATATCTGCAAGATACATCTACACCAGGACATTTAGAATGATGAACAAGGAACAAATGATGGTCAAGGAGACAGTGGAGAGAATGAGCATTGTAGGTGCTTGTTGTCTGTCATCCTGTGAGATAGAGATGCTCCCTTTCACATCCAAGGAACAGAGGCGCAGATACATAGCATGAGTCACCAATGGTCTCGGCTAACGGGTAGGTGAATCCAGACTTAGGATCAGCTTGACTCCAAAAAACTGGGAGGACTTTGCTCAACTTTACCCAAATCTAGTTCATGGTGATAAGTCATGTAACTTCATCCAACCCACTGCCTTCAGAGGAGGCTGCGTCTAACCATCTGGCTGGAATCTCCCCCTTTCTAAGTGAGTCACACTCTTGATTTCTTCAGCCACAAGCCCTCAGGCAAGTCCCCAGCGGGCCCTCTCACTGAGTCTACTGGGAGGCCTGATGGCCATGCAGAGGGCCCTGGGTCAGGCAGCGTTCCTGATCCCACCACCAGCCAGCACAATGAAGTGTCTCCTCTCCTCACTCCCGACATGTGCTTCATCCTCACGTGAGTGGGCACTGCTGCCACCCAGGCAGGCAAGACACACACACACGCACACACACACGCACACACACACGCACACACACACGCACACACACACGCAGCTCACCCCTGTGTTCTTAGTTAAGCAACCTGAGTAAACTTGTCCAGATGTAAACCAAGCCACATCCTTTCCCTATCTCAGCAGCTCCAGTGTCTCCGTCATATGTTTAAAATAAAACCCAGAGCCCTCCTCATCCCCTGGCCTCGCCCGAAGCACTCGCCCTCTCTCCTGATCTCCTCAGCCACATGCATTGCATCCCTTTTGCTGCCTCAGCCCAGCCCACTCGCAGGCCTGTCCCCACTGTCCCCACCTGGCTTCTCACCTCTGCTGGAGAGCAGATGCCCACTTCCGGGCTCTCTCCCCGCCCTTGACCTTGATTTGTCCTAATGCAGCGCTTTAGGCAACCAAACTTAGAGCCGTTTTAAGGGGCTACTTAGAGACTGCTTGTCTTTCCCAGTTTTTAAAAGAAGCCCAGAAAGTAAGTAATGCTTGAGCATTGCTTGAATCCCCAGCCCCTGGGCAAGGCCACGTGAGTAGATACTCGGTGAATAAATAAGTGAGCGGGATGTCACTGTTTCTAGTACATCCTCAAGCACTTTGTTTCAAGGCTCACTGTGACTAAGCAGGCTGGTGTGGTTTTCTTCTTCCTCACAGTTGCCCCAAAATCGGCTGTAGCCACACTGACATAAGAATGTCCGATCTCATCCAGGATGAAGCACTGCGAAGAGCAATTGAAGGTCATAATAAGAAAAGATGTCGTCAGCCCGTGTAGAGCAAAGCCAGCAGCCCCCAGGGCAGCCAGCAGCCTACCTCTGACCCTAGCCATCTGTGAGAGGGATGTGTGCCAGGCCTTGAAGGCCCAGCTGCACAGCATACTTCGTTTGGGTGAAACTTGATGGTTGTGAAGTGTGATCGAAAGCACTTTTTTTAAGTGACACAATACAAATGCAAGCACATTACACAGTTTTTTAAATGTTCGATAATTTTAAATAAAACATTGATTACCTATAGTGTGTCCTGTCTGTGTATCCCACTATGCATAAGTTAATGGTTCCAAAAGGCAAAGAGTGTCCTGTTTCTTGAACTTACTGCTGTTTTAACTGAAGAATGTCTTTCAGGTGATATTTGGAATGATATGAGAGACACACCCCAACTACAAAGCATTTTCTATAAGAACAGTAAATGACAGCATTCAGTTTTGAAGTAAAATAAGTTTAGTCTCTGATAATTGAGACTTGTAAATATTTAGATGCTTTCATTTGTCATGTCTTTGTGAATGGTGTAGAATGTTCCAGAAACATATTTCTCTGGGCAACAATAAATGATGGCCATAATGGAAGCCTGATTGCAGCACTCGCACTGATTGCAGGACAGAGTATCATCTGAAGCAACTACATCCTGCTCCACTCGGCCCTCCCTGCTGGATGTCTACAGGCGCCTCAGCCACTGGGGCTTGGAGTCTTCAGCTACAAAGCAGAGCTGTTGAGATGCAGTCCTAGCCATTGCCCTGAGACATGTGGACTAGAACCAGGAGACTCCTAAAGCAAATGTCCCGTACAGCCAGTGGGGTGCACTCCTGGCATCATAGCACTTGGGAAGCTAGACAGGAGGTTGGAGGGTTTGAGGCTAGCCTGACCTGCCTAGCAAGTTTGAGCCGCCTTGACTACACAGTAAGACCTTGTCTCAAAAACAAAAAGTAGCTGGGTGCTGGTGGCTCACGCCTGTAATCCTAGCTACTCAGAAGGCTGAGATCTGAGGATCATGGTTCAGAGCCAGCCTGGGCAGGAAAATTCGTGAGACTTTTATCTCCAATTAACCCCGAGAAAACCAGAAGCAGAGCTGAGACTCAAATTGGTAGAGTGGTAACCTTGAGCAAAAGAGCTCAGGGACAGCACTCAGGCCCTGAGTTCAAGCCCCACAAGAAAAAAATAATAAAAACCAGTGAGAGTACTAACCTGTTATTTTAATAACTAACACTTACTGAGTACTTATAATATACCAAGTTCTAATTCTTTATGCATATATTAACTCCTACAGTCTTTTCTGCCTAGTGAGAGAGTACAGTTATTGCTTCCATTTTATAGCTAAGGAAAGAGAGGCAGAGATACAAAGTCACCTGGGGAAAGTCCTAGAGAAATGGATGAGCTGGGAGGGCCATGAGTGGCCTGGTCCAGGGTCTTCATGCTTAATCCTAGGCTTTCCTCCTTCTGATTTGGAGAATCTAAAAATGTAGTCAATGCCCATGGCTAAGAACTAAAGGTTAGACAGACACCAGTGACTCACACCTGTAATCCTAGCCTCTTGGGAGGCTGAGACCTGGAAGATTGAGATTTGAAGCCAGCCCTGGAGAAGTCTTCAAGTCTATCTGTAATTAACCAGCAAAATTCCACACTGAAGGTATGGCTCAAGTGGTAGAGTGCCAGCCAAGCAAGTAAGTCAAACAAGAGTCAGATTCTGAGTTCAAGCCCCAGTACTGTTGCACACACGGTTTTATAAATAAGTATATGTAGAAATAAGTCTAATTAAAATGCAGGAAATAGTCATGGCATCTACTAATCAGTAAAGGCCATGAAACACTGACATATTTGAGTTTAAGAGCAGAGTCTAAAATGGTAGAAGTAATCTTGAAAACATTTTCCTGGAATCCAGAAAGTAGTTTGACATTCAGTTGCCTACAGAGTGACTGAATTTCCTAATATGCTTTATCTGAATCAGCTTTCCTGAGGAAATGATTATGTTTAAGCCAGAACAAACATACTTTTCATGGAATGTGGTTCTTTTGTGCAATACTGTTTCCTAAACAGATAGGGACAAGCTTCAGAATGCTTGCCCAAGAAGCAAATTGCATTTCCCCAATTCTTCCTAAACAGTACCTAGAATGTTGCTATATATAACATTTATTATCTGTTAGAAATATGAAAAATACCATTCCACCAAGAGAAACGTATGGTATTGTAACCTACAAGTTTTTTTATTCCTTTAATTTTCAAAAACTCTCTTTGATAAATTTGTCTAGCTGCTTAAGGAATTTGACGTTTTATAGAAAGTTTGTTTTTATCTTTTAAGACTTTTTTACTTGCTTGTCATCAATCTGACATCAGTTTCTGTTACAAGAGTTTGAAAAAAATTTAAGTAGATGAATTCATATTTTGCTAGGCATGAGAGCACACATTTGTAATCCCAGCACTCAGAAAGCTGAGGAAAGAGGATGGTTTTTGTTTAGTTTGAGATCAGTCCGAACAATGTGATGAGAACTGTCTTTAAAAAAAAAAAAAAGAAAAAGCCAATTACTCTTAATTAAAAATCCAACATATAAGACAGCTTAAAAGAGAAGTCAAAGTTCCTTTTTCATAGGGCAGCTCCAGTTCTACTTGCCAAGACCCCAAAGCCCTGGGAGTGACATTTAAAAACTATATACTATAAGTTGGGCACCAGTGGCTCACACTTACAATCTAGTGACTCAGGAGGCTCAGATCTGAGAATCCTGGTTCAAAGCCAGCTCAGACAGGAAAGTTCATTAGACCCTCATCACCAATAAACCACCAAAAAACAGGAAGTAGGAACTGTGATTCAAGTGGTAAGCACCAGCCTTGAGAAAAAGCTAAGGGACAGTGCCCCGAGTTCAAGCCCCAGTACCAGCGCACACACACACGCACACGCACATACACAATTGTGTAGGTGTGGCATTTTAAAAGAACTGATAGTAGCTCAATAAAGAAACCTGACCTGGTAAGTTTTCAACATTACCAGGAATGCCAAAAGCTCGGGTAATTTCTCTCCCCTTCCAGAGGACTTCACACAGGGAAGATCCAGCTGCAACACTCAAATGGCAAAGGCAGCTCCAGCCTGAGGCTCCTCAACAAGATCAGAGGGATGGCAGGACTTAGGGAAACCAGGCAGGCACTGCCAACTGATGTATCACCTAAGCCCATCTTCCCTATGGCTTTGAAAGTAGTTAGTGCTCCATTTTACAGATGAGAAATCCAAGGCTCTGCCAGCTCCCATTGCCCCAGGTCACATGCTTGTGCGTGCTCCAGCCCACGTTGGAACAGAGCAGCAAGCTTGCAGGCATTGGGCCTCTGCATACTTAGCCTGTGCGCCTGCAGATTGTCCCTTCCCTACTTCTCTGTCCACCCATCCAGACCCAGCTGGCCTCCTAATCTAATCTCACCCCCCTATTAATCTGCAGTACCGATTGGGTAATACCACATCCTGGCTGGAAAAACCTTCCTTTCCTGCAGAATGAATGGAGTTCAGGAGTCAGCCACAGACCGGCCCCTCTTCCCATCTTTCCAGAACTCCGTTCTTCCCAACACTACCGCTCCCACCTCTCTTTACAGAATGGCTTCTTCCAAGCGGGGAGCTAAGTCTCAGGACTGACCTTGTTAAGTCACTCCAATGCTCCAGCCCTCGGAAACTAAAAGATTTGGACATATCCTTAAGGGTTTCAGAGCTCAACGATTCTGTGCTATATTTTTATATAGAATATGGCTGTTTTGAAGGTAAGCCAACATAGATGTTAGTGTGTATTTGAACCAAACATTTACTTTCAATCTTTAACCAGAGTCAGTTAATATTTTAAGACCTACTATGTGCCATTTTTGTTAATTTCATATGGCACAAAAATTCTGCCTCCAAAGGGCTTGTCTAGTTGAAGCAGACATATTTTAAGAATTAAATTGCAAGCAGGAGGTATTGTTCGGTGAGGCCCTAGATTCGATCCCCAGCATTGGGGGGAAAAGAAAAAATGAAATTCTATGAGGTTATATGAATACCATATGTAGGGAACTATATAGCACAAATTTTAAAATTATAAGGGAAGTATTCAACAACACATGTTCCTGCAAACACTTGGGTATAAATGATCATAACACCATGGTTTCCAGATGTCAAGCGGATGAATGGGTAAACTCAATGTGGTGAATCTGTGCAGTGGAATACTACTTGGTAATATAAAACAGTGTGTGCATTACACATTGTGTAGTGAGGAGATAACCTAAGATGTCAGGCATCTCCTATCAGATTTCAAGGACAAGACGCATGAACCTTAGTCACGATGAGGTACACTGGGTCTCTGGAACGTATTCCTCACATAACATGGTCTCCCGTGGCCCTGGTCACCAGGCCCACTCTGCTGTGAGTGGGTAGGAAGTGCTTATCCATGCATGCTCCAATTTGGTTGAATATTATGCTACCTGAGAGAAGCCACCTGAGAAGATCACATAAGAGGTGACCTGTCCAGAAAAGATACATCTACAAGGACAAAACAGATGAGAGGTGGCTCAGCCTGGGTGGGGGAAGAGGAAGGAGGGGGAGGGGGGGAAGGAGGGGAAAGAGATTGTTAAATGAATGTTATGGTGACAGTCACACAACTTAAACTCAATCCCATTAAACCCAGCACTGAGAAAAGGTATGTTTTATAGCATATAAATGACCCAGCAAGTGAGGGCTGTTTTTAGAGGATAAGGAGGAGAGCACTTCCTCTGGTCACTGAAGGGCAGAGCCACAAGAGTCCTCCCAGGCTCAAAGTCAGCTGGTAACCAAATCCCTATCATTCTTCCCAGGAGTGTTTCTCAACCCTTATCTTAAAGATTATGGCAAAGTAAGAATTCTATTCAAGTCTCAGGAAATCCAGGATCTAAAAAAAAACAGCAATTAGTGGGGTGGGGGCGGCCAGGCAGGAGTGGAAAGCTAGGGGTTAATGAGAGGCTAAGATTAAATAGTAACTGATTTGGGCTGGGAAGGTGGCTCAGTGGTAGAGTGCTCACCTTGCATGCATGAGGCCCTGGGTTCAGTTCCTCAGCACCACATAAGCAGAAAAAGCCAGAAGCAGTACTGTGGCTCAAGTGGTAGAGCACTAGCCTTGAGCTGAGGAGCTGAAGGACAGTGCCCAGGCCCAGAGTTCAGGCCCCACAACTAACTAACTAAATAAATAGTAACTGATAAAGAAGAATATACTGTTACCTGTGTCTGCTTCTTTAGCACCTACCTGAAGTCCTTTTGC